CTTGACACAAGGTTGGCAGTGGAAGCTGTGGATGTGGCAAAAACAAGTAGAGCGGGGGGGAGCTGGGCGGGCCGTCAGTGGAGCATATGGTTCCTGCATAGGTGCTCTTTAGGGCGCAAGGAGGTGGCTCAGGCAGAAATGAAGTCCGTTAGAAGCCATGTAAGTGTAGGGATATCTGAGGTCCTGCCGTAGCATCAGAGTAGGGGTCTCAGTTGGGTCCCGGACATCCAAGGAACAGTGCATGTGCTCTACCTTTGCCTCTCCAGAGCCCTAGCTCCTGCCAGCTTACCTTTCAGACCCATTCTTTCCCTTTATAATTCTAAGCTCCAAGGGGAGAGACGCCCATCCACTTTGTTGGGTGCCCGCTACCTGCTGATACTGCTCACACTCACCGTTATGGGGCCTGTGGAGCAGATCTGTCTGGCCCCTTGGGCTCAGTGGTTTTAAATGGCCCAGCATTGTTACCACAGGCTTAGGGAAATACTTTTTATCCTGGTTTTAAGTATTGCTTGGTTCATCCAAGTGGGAGAATCACAAGGCAGGTAGCCAGTGCCCAGGGTGAGCATTAACTTGTAAAGAAATTGGAGAAAGGGAGAAATTTTTTTTTTTTTTAAAGATTTATTTATTGGTGTATACAGAACTGGGGTACAGGCCAGAGGCTCAGGGGCGGCGAGAGGCTTCACCAGAGACAGAGTGGGGAACAGAACAGGCAGATCAACGAAGTACACTGCTGAGGGGAGCAGCGGGTGGGTCAGGAGAGGTCTGCCACGCCATGTGGTCACCTCCGGGGCAGGCGGGAATCGAACTCATGCGGAAGCGGCTTTTAGATTCTCAGTGCTGTGCTTTAACCCGCTGCGCCACCAGGGAGGGCCGAAAGGGAGAAATTTTTAAAACAGAAGTTTATTTTTGGATTGTATCATAAGCATTCAAAGTTTAATTTCAAAAAAGCAATGATTTGTATTTCGTTTTAACACTTAAAACATTTCTATACCTTTATCCTGATTCTAGAATATGCAGTGTCTCTTGTGTCACCTGATATGTTCTAAGAAATTCAGTAAAGCTATCATGGAGCTCATTTATTTTTTTATACTGTGCAAGTTGGTAAAATAGTCATCACCCATTTCCAGTCCTCCTGTGATGGTGCCTTCTAGGGTGTTGGGACAGATCTTGCAAGGAAGCTCTTAGTAGTCGCAAACCTTTCTCCCAAAGATTGTAAGTCCTGCCTCTTTGGTGAATGATAATACAATTTATAAAAATAATGGATTCCCTTTCCTTTTGCTGAGTAAACTCCATTATGTTCCTCTGGCTTTGAAAATAATTTAGATGTGCAGTTCAAACACACAGACTTAAGCTTGATAGGATTTAAGGACATTTCATCAAGTCAAAGCACTGGCTAGCAAACCTAAATCAGGTTTCTCTGCAAACTAGTATTCAGGAATCACGTCTCTACATGTGATAGGATTAGCCCTCTTTTGATAAGTCCCCAGTTGCACAATTAGAATTAGGGAGCACGAAGAAAGCAGGCCATATAAATCTTCATGATGCTTGGCAACTGTTTGAGGTAGCAGTTCCATTGTGGAACTCATTTTGAGTTCTAATGCCATCGTGACAATATCTGTACAGAATTTTAAGTATGTGTGTGAGTGCCCTCTGGAGGCATTATGAAGCAGTTAAAACATAGATTCCTGTGAAAGATTTTCTTTAACAGACACATGTGAGAACTAGTGAACTTGATGGTTAAAACTAGCCTGGCTGTAGACTGGGAGCAGAGGAGAATGTTGGGGAGCAATGGGAACACTGGCTCTTGGGAGTGGGGAGCACTCCCCGTGGATGGAGAGTATTAGGTCTCTGCAGCAAGAGCAACGGAGGGCTGGGAACTTGGGCAGCAGTGTCCAGGGAGATGGGGAATGGCATGTGCCTTGGGTTTGACCAGGAGGAACTTGTGTGGTATGGTGGTGGAAGAAGAAGTGAACAATGAAGTAGAAATCAGGAAAGTAAGTCTTTAAGAAGCCTGGGTAGGGAGAAAAGGGGGAGAGAGAAAGTGTGTGTAGCAGCTCGAGAAGGCATCAGATTAATTATTGGTTTTCCTTGATATAAAAGAGACTTTGCATTGTGTTTAAATACTGAGGGGAAGAAACAAGCAGTGAGAAGGCGAAGTTGAAAGATGTTCTGGGGGCATAGAAGAGAGTTGTCCTTAAAGCCCCTAGCTGGGCTAGTTCTTAAGGAAAGACAAATTGCCTTTTAGAGGGACTTGGCTGTGGGGAAGCTGTGGGGTTGTGAGGAAATGGCCTGTAGGCAACTTGCAGGTGTAGGTGAGAAGACAAAGCTGGTTGTGTGGGATATGGAATTGCCTCTCAGAAGTAGTCCTCATTCAAGCAAAGTTGGTTGAGTACAACAGTGGAGCCAGGACCTACTGTCAGGCCGCATGTATCTGGGAGGTTGGGTGAAAGGGTCAAGGGGCATAGTGAGGCCTGAAGCAGGGAGCTAGGGACATGGAAGTGCTGTCTCCCCCAGGTGTCAGAGCTGCAAGTTGGTCTGGGGGCAGCTTGGCAGAGGGGTCCGGCAGGGAAGAGCAGAGCAGGCGTCAGGTCTTGGGGCAAGGCTGCCTGAGGGCTGGTGCGGCTCCAGAGACAGCGAGAGTGAGGTGGAGAACGATTCTGGAAAGAGTGTGGTGTCTCTAGTTTTATAGGTACAAGATGTAAATGTTATGAAAGTGCTGTGCTGCAGCCCGTTTTGCTCAGCTTGAGAGTTTGAGCAGGAAGAGGAGAATGTGTAGGTGCTTTTGCAGAAAGGAGACATGGCCAGGCTTGACTTACTACCCTGACACTGGTGGAAGTTAAGTCCTTTGAATATATGGAGCCATCTGCCATCATGTATAATCCTCTTTTTTCTTGATAAAGCTAAGAGAATGGCTAATAAAAGTTGTTTGGCTTAGTTTTTGTAATATACTCCTGATAATTGCAAGTGCTAAAGTAATAATACATCTGAATTTGGGAGGTGGGGTTGATTTTTTTTTAAGATTTATTTATTTATGCATACAGAACTGGGGTACAGACCAGAGGTGCAGGGGTGGTGAGAGGATTCATCAGCGATGGAGTGGGGAGCAGAGCAGGCAGACTGATTGAAATACACTGCTGAGGGGAGACAGGAGAGGTCTGCTGCACTGTATGGGTGGGCTGTGGCCAGCTTTACAGTGCTGAGCTTTAACCAGTTGTGCTACTGGGGAGGGCCAGTGGAGTTGATTTGAAGTGCAAATGAAAGGTGGGGTGGGCAGCCCCCTTCTGCCAGTCTGCTCTGAAGCCCTGCAGAGGTCTAGCCTGCCTCTCTGGCCCTTTAACAGTCTGTGTCCCACACACCCTGCACGGAGTGTCTGTTTGCAGACATTGAACATTTACTTTAACTCCATGGTTTTCTTTTCATATTTTGTATCCAACAAATACTTCCTTCAGGTTGTAGACCTTTTCATAGCCCTTGAGGCACTCACAAGCTGAGGGGACTGTGCTGATGGGGCTTTCCCAGGAGGCACCCTGTCCTGCTGGGATGTCTAGGCATGTCTGGCTGGCTGGGATTGCCAGGAAACTTGCACACTGAGCTGCCTCCTGGGAAAGCCCCATCCTCAGGGGAGCTGCAGTCACTGTTGTGGTTAGGGACCTTGTATTGCAGGGGCCATAGATTCATTCAGGTCATTTTAAGAAATGGGCTTTGGTGTAAGGACATGTCTGCCATACTTTCTTGTCTACATGGTTTGTTTTTACCTCATTTTTCCTCATGATGAAGTTTTGTAGTGACTCCTCAGAATTTTCCTTTTCCCTTTTTTGTGGAATCTTTTAGATTCCAGAGAGCAAGATGGGGAATCTGCCTTTGCTGTCATTTCTCTTAGCATACTAAGGTCTGGATCAGGCATGCACACAGGACTGAGCTATGGTGGGGACAGGGACAGTTGTGGGCTCTGGGCATGGGGTCCCTCAAAAACCCAGCAGCTCCCTGGTTGGCTGGTGTGGCTCAGGAAGGGAGAGAAAACCTGGCCTCCTGCGGACACTGAAGCTCTCCAAGCCCCATTCTTGCCCTTTAAAGAAGAGCCTATTAGTAGTCTTGGTTTTAAGTCAGACCTCATTCCCATAGAGAACAAATCCCCAGGTATACTGAGAGCAGTTTCACCTTCCATTTTCTTCAGTCCTTGAGCTGTGGGTCCCTCAGGGCAGCCTGTGGGCACTGGTCCCTGTGTTGGTGGTTTCTGCTTAACAGCTGCTCGCAGCAGGGATGATTCTACTTTGCTGTTCGTTTGTTTCTTCCACATTTCTGGGGAACAACGTAGAGTAGTTTAGCACCATCCCCAGCTTCACAAAATTTAGAACAATTAAATGTCCCATTGAAATGTAAGCACAGGGTTGTGAAATATAGTAAATGATAACTAATCCTTGATAGACCTTACTTTTTTTTCCAGGCACTACTTCAAGTACTTCTTGTACTTATTTAATCTTTAAACTACCTTACAAGGTCAGATCCTTTATTATCTCAGTGTCTCTGTTCCTAACCTCTGAGGTGAAGGTTGCACGACTGTTCTGTGGAAGGCCGGGGCATGAACCTGTTCAGCTGGGCTCCTTCTGCCCTCTTGCAGAGTGAAAAACCAGCATCAATTTTAAGACTCTCTGGGGTTGCAGCCAATCTGAGCCAGTTATCCAGTTTGTAGTACCTTTGAACCAGAAGCTCAATTTGGGTAAAGTTCTTACCGAAAAGCTAGTTGTGATGCTTGAGTTCCTGTCTCTGGGCACAGTTGTACAGACTGCCTGGGTTTCCTTCCTGAGCTTTCTCAGGTCTTCTCCCCCTCTCTATCCCCGACATGCCTTGAGCCCTGTATATTTGTGTAATCCCAATTAGAAGTGGCTCTTTCCTGGCTTCTGAACGGAGACCCCACATTTATCATTGACAGTTCTTCAGAAAATGTGGTCCTGAATTCCTCATGGCACAAACCTCCTGCTCTCTTCTCTGCCTTTCTCCAGCTCTGCAGCAGCGTGAGACCTCTCAGCCCACCAGCCACTGTGGCCGTGCCTCTGCTGCCTCTTCTGGAATGCCTTGGGATTTTTGACTCCTGTCACTGTGGTAAGTTACCTCATATTTCCTAAATGAGAACCCACATGTGGATTTACAGTGCAGGCATCTCTGCGTGTGCCCTTTATGGCTCAGTGAGGAAGATAAACCTCTCCTGCCTTGTAATTTTTCTTACACTCTTGCCTTTACCTGGCTTTTGAGTTTCCTAGACACTGAACAACTGTCCTTATTAGCTTGAGAGATGGCAGAAGTGTTTTGTCCTGTCTGTCTCTTCTCTGGAGTTTGGCTCCCTCTTTTTCATGTATCCTGTTGGTTATTCTGGCTTCCTGCTGCTTCCCCACCTTCCTAAAAGCCTTCTGGAACACAAACTTGGTTTCTGAGCTCATGTCATCTGCCGTTTTTGCTTTCCCATGGTTCCTGTCTATTCTGAGATGTTAGAACTTTAAGACTGGACCTGTTACTTAAGTTTCTGGTGTTTTCCCCCTAAAGGCTGTATAATAGCCTCCTCCTTAAATGTAAGTTCCTGGACATTGGCTTACCTGAAGAGGATGGGTTTGTCCCATTACCACTGAGCCCTAACCTGAGAAGTACCCACTTCCCATCACAAGCAGCTTCTCTTGTGTTCTTTGGGTCTGGGCTTGGTGATTTTTTTTTTTTTTTTTAAGATTTATTTATTTATGCTTACAGAACTGGGGTACAGGCCAGAGGTCTGGTGGGTAAGAGGGTTCACCAGAGACAGAGTGGGGAACAGAACAGGCAGATTGATGGACTACACTACTGAGAGTCACAGTGGGCGAGTCAGAAGAGGTCTGCCGTGCCATGTGGGTCAGCGCTCTGGCTGGGGTTCAAACTTGTGCTGCAGTGGTTTCAGAGAGCCTCATAACACGTGTTTTAACTTGTTGCACCACCTTGGCGATCATTTTAAAATGACTTTTGCCCTCTCTTCAACTCAACTCAAAAAGATAGTGTTCATTTTACTAGGACAGGTGTTTGTTCGTCTTTATCTGGTCATTGCTGAAATCCAAGCACTGGGTTCTCCAGATCTCTGTACATACATAATAAGATTGTACATTTTTCCAAGCATCTCTGGAAGCTAGAGAGAGTTAAACCCTGCCTCCATAACCATGGGTCTGGCCAGGGGCTGACCTGTGGCTTCCCATCTCCTCTCCACAAAGGTGGACTTCCCAAGTTCTGGGGTTTTCCTTTCCCTGGTATCATTTCCTCACTCCATTGGCTTGCTTTGAGGTAAAGGACATTGCAGTGGCTTCTGTGCTAGTGGTCCACTTTGGTACCCAGGAGAAACCCATGGGGACGTGTGGTGTCTTTTCTTTTGCCTGTGCTATCAAACTAGTGAGGTGAGGCTACACTGGATGGAGAGGCCTGATCAGCTCTTCCCAAGGGGGCTTTTTGGGAAATCCTGACATATGGACGGGGCTCCTGAGCACAGTGACAGGGCTCACTCCATATTCTTGGCTGATAGGGCTCACCCCCAGAAACCTTCTTTGTTATTGGGCCGGGGTGGGGTAGGTGGTGAGAACTAAGAGGTAGGTCTGGTAGTTCATGAGTTCTTGGTGGTTGTATGCACAGGGCCCTGCTAGTGATAGGGAAAGGTGCTCCCTGTGGTCTGGCAGCTCGCAGAATGCTGCATGGAGCTGGATTCCCAGCACAGCTAGTAATGCCATGTTGGTAGCTTTGCATTTCTAGCTCAGTATTGTGAATGTCTCAGTTCGTTATAGCGTGCATACTGTGGAAGGAAGACTGCACTGCCTATATCCCCAGTCCCTGCTGGGGCAAAGCCCTCAACTCCACAGTCCTGCGTTCATTGTGATGAGTCTCCGTGGTGATGGGTCGCTGGCCCTTGTGGAGCACAGGAGCTGGGTTCTGACTGTGATGCTCCTTCTGCTCATCTCTGAGCAGTCAACGCTTTTCAGTGCTTTGCGCCTCCTCAGTGCTTGAGCCCTCCCCATATTGCCACGTCCCTGACAGGCTTGCTCGGATTTGTCAAGCAGTGCGAGTTACTAGTTTTGACTCAGATATAAAAATAACCAAACTCTGATCCATCTAAAGTAGTCAACTCTGTAGATACAGCAAGTAGAATGGTGGTTGCCAGCGTGGTGGGGAGAGGGCCAAGGGGATTGTTCCTGGGGGCGGGGGGGTGAAGTGTGGGTTTTACCTGATAAGAGCAACAGTGCCTATGTACTAACACTGCGGAGCTGTACACTGAAAGTGGCTAACAATAAATCGTGTGTATGTGTGGTGCTTCTTATGTGTTGTTTCTACCACAATAAAAAAGTACATTTACACACACCTGTAACTTTTTGACCTGCCAGCCATGGTGATAGCCCTCCCAGTCAGTGTCCCTGAGAAGAATATGCTCTTCATATCTGCCTACACTGCCAGGGTCTCTCTTCTTCCTTTGGTTTCTGGGCTGAGTCCTGCCGTGTGACCTGAGGCATTTCTCCCCTCTCCCTAGGGTGACTTGGGTCCATCTCTGTTCTTTACCTCCCATGCCCAGCCATGGTTTGTCTCCCTGTGGCTCTTGGTTCTCTGATAGTGGAAAGAGGAAGTTCAGTAAACAAGAGTCATTCTTGCTGAGCACAGACCTTCCCCTTGCCCTGCTCTCATGGCGCCTTCCCTGCCCAGCGCCTGCCCCTCCAGAATGGGAGGGCTGCCCTGGCGCTTGGGAAGGCAAATGAGGACTCCGCCACAGGGCAGGCACAGCAGTGCTGGCAGCCCCTTTTAGGCACCGGCCTGTGTGCTGGTAGCACTCTGCTCTGTGACTGAAACGGTTTCTTTTTTTTCAACTCCTCCCCCTCTGCTCCTCCTTTTTGAGAACAGAATAAGCACTGAAGCGTTGACCCCCCCTTGATTTGAGGGTGCATGATTTACGTGGGCCTTTTTTGGATGAGTAAACTGAGGCCAATGGGACCAAATCAGCTGAGGTAGTTCACGTAACTTGTTTAGTGTTGGATCAAGAATTTGAATTTAGGACTTTTGATTGCAAGCCCAGAGCTCTACCCTCCAAGTCGTGGTAGTTCTCAGATCACACAAATGTGTGACCCACTGGCCGGGCTAGTGAGACGGGCTTGTGCTTGTGTGCAGCGTGTTCATGGTGGCCGCCATAGCCACAGATCTTGTCACGTCCACTGCGTCAGCATGCAGCTGCAGGAATTCGGGAGGTCAGCCTGCTAGGAAGGTCCCTCAAACAGTCCTACAAGGTGAGAGCAAAGGGGAAGAAGAGCTGGGTAGCAACAAGGAGGCGTGGCAGACAGCACAGGAGTGAGAGCAGCATTTGACTTTGAACAGTTAAGGAGCCCTAATTACAGGGAGACAGGTCATCAGGGCCTGGGCAGCCTCTGCCTGCGGAATGACGTTCTTGGCAAGTGCATGAATGTGTCATGCACTAATTAAAATCAGGGAAGTGAGGAAGCACATGTTTATTTAGCCTCAGCTATGCTGTGGGCTGCTGATGGGTCCTTTACGTTTATTATCTTCTTTAATTATCACAGGGAAGCATTGAAGTTGAAGACATTATTATCCAGCTTTACAGATCAGTCTGAGATGAGCCACAGCAGAACAGCAAGGCGCAGATCCAACCCCTGCCCCCGCCCCTGCGTCATCCCCAGGCAGTGTAGGAGGATTCGCAAGGGCGTAGGCCTCTGCGATCCTTTCTCTCCTTGATGCAGGTGCAGTTAGCCTCAGACCAGAAGAAGACTTGGCAGCATTTCTGCGATGCTTCTCGATGCTGATCTCTGGACCTCATCTCGTAGCTTTTGTAGTAACTTCTAGTTAAAAGAAGAATCAGATATGACTTGTTTTGTCTTTTATATTTTCTCCATTAGGAGTCATTAGACCAAATAATATGAAGAGCAGTTTTCTGAGTACAAAATGAGAGGTGCTCTGGTCCTTGTAGCTCGTGAAAATTCAGCCCAGGCCATCAGCCATTGCCCTCTGTTAGGAGGGAATTGGGGGGACTTAGGACTTGCATGTGGGCCATAAGCAAGTGCAGGCAGCAATAAGGGGGAAGAAGGAAGTGGGCCTAGATAGGAAATGGTCAAGGGCAGGGACAGCTTGCTACTCCAGGAGTTGGGGTCAGGGGTGCTCACCAGTTCTCTGGGGCCAAACTGGACCTGAGTCTTTTCTAGCCAGCTGGTGGCAAGGAATGGCCACAGAGGCTTGCTTCAGCAGAGGCTGTCCTCACCCACAAGGGAAATTCTGTAAATTTAGTCAAGAGGTTCCTGCTCAGACTAAGAATCTCCTTTGACGAAAGTAAACAGTTGACTTCTGCACCCAGAAGTTCTCTCAATCCCAAAAGTAAATGCTCATCAGAGCATAGTCACAGTGCTGTTGAGCACCAGGAGTCCCTGAGCGCTGGAGGGAGCTGTGACTAGGGAGCTTCCAAAGGGCAAGTTCAAAAGACTGATGATTCCCTGGGTTATCCAGTGGGACATGCAAGTACCTGAACACGTCCTGGGCTGCACAGAAACTGAGAGTATGCTCTGAAGCCGGTTTGTGGATGTCCTGGATGTGTCCACGGGAGATTTGGGCCTGGGGTGGTGATGCTCCCTTGGGCCCCTTGAAGTGAAACTCCTCTGCAGTTTTGCCTGCTCCTTCCATTACTGAAGCTGGTCACTAAGATGGGGATGCCTGTGTGCCTCTCTATGAGCCCAGAGGCACCCTGCAGAGGAGGTGGGTTGGGCCATTCATTGTCGCATGAGGGAGAGCAGGGAGAGTAGGTGAAGAAGCCTGAGTAGACCTTCAGGAGGCCTCAGTGCCACTTCAGAGCCACTTCAGAGTGCTGGGCATAGCAAAGGGGCCTTTCTGGGAGACTGAGCTGGGCCTCACATGGAGCGGTCTAGGTCTAGGACCCTATGAGGTGGGCTCTGTCACTTGCCATCACTGAGGTGGCGCAGGGCATGTGAAAGGAAAGGTGGCTATGGAAGGTGGGCTGCTGGGGAAGGAAGGAAATGGAAGTGCCTGTCTGGGAAGTGAGCCTGCCCTGGCAGCTGAACCGGGTACCTTCCAGTGTCTCTTCCAGGGCTGTTGGTGTTGGCAGAAGCAAAGAAAAATTGCGTGGCATTCCGTAGTCCTAACCAGTGAGTTACAAGTGAATACTAAAATGTTCTGTCAGTAAGACCAACACAGCACAGAAGTGAACTGGGCCTGGGTCTGTAACTCTTCCTTACCTGGCTCTGTGTGTTTTCGGCTAGCGTCTCCCCAAGGTGTAGGGGAGATAAGCAAAGACGTGGGCTTGGCCTCTTTGTACCCAGGCCCCTGAGGCAAGAGGGAACAGTGACCTCGAGCAGGATAGATAGTGTTGGGCCCTTTCCTGGCAGCATGCAGGCACCAGGGAGAGCAGCTTCCCACTGAGGCTTCATATGCCGAGGCCTGTAGAGAACAGCTCAGCAGAGGTGCCGCTGCCTGTGGCGCTAACACCTGAGTTAATTTCTGGGACTTCCTGATTATTTATGAGGGGAGAAGAATTTAGCCAAACTGGAACAAGTTCCATGTGTTCCATGTGGATAAGGGCCCCCACTCTGTACAGGGGAGAGGTCCTAGAGGAGGGGCTGCACGCCGAGCCCTTGTGGGACATCTCTGTTGGGACTGCTTCCTCCAAGCATCGCCTTTTATTTATTCCTCTGGTATGCAGACTTCACTTTAGGATTATTATGGAGGCATTTGGGGGAATGTTTTTTATGTCTAGAGTAATAGTGGCAGTTGATGGAAATTACTAAACTGTAAGTAAGGATTCCTTTAAATTTGCTTCACAACTTTCAGCCTTTGAAAAAAAAGGGTTTAAGATGGAATCTCAACCTCTCTGATCCTCGGGGTCCTTTTACTCTTTAGAAAGCGTTATTCAGGGCACTGGGCACTTAGGTTTCCCTGGGTTATAAGTAGTGATGTTTATCATGATAGTCAATTAGAACTTTATGGAAGTATTAACTAATTTATATTAAAATATAGTGATAAAATCATTACCTACCAACACAAGTGACGTTTTACTGAAAAACAACCTTTTTCAAAAACATCTAGTAAGAAGAGTGACAATATTTACATTTCGGCAAATGTCTTTGCATGTATGAGGCTTAAATAAAAGACATCTGTTTCTGTATTCAATCTCTTGCAATATGTTGTTTTGGTTGAAATAAATGAAGAACCCAGTTTCTCACAGATAACAGAGTTGGAAGAGGAAACCTAGCAGCCTTTTCTGTCGCAGTGAGTTGATCTGTGATCGGGTAGGGCCCTGGAAGGGGTTGGCCAGTCTCGCATCCCGACGTGCAGTTGTCCGTGGCCTCTCCTGCACTTGGAGCAGCGCTTTACCCACAGTGACTTTATCATCTCACATATGGCTCCTATGGAAAACTGTGTTCACTGAGTCAGGCAAATCTTGTAAATGTCCATGTGTTATTAGGTATATGATAACAAAATCACTTTTGTTAGTGTACCCATTGGTCTCCTAAGAGTCTCCAAGCATCGGCAGGCTGCAGAGTGCCCAGCAGTGCACAGGTTTCCCGGAATCCCAGTGTTGCCAGCTGTCTGACTGTGGGTAGCTGAAGCCACCAGGTGTTTCCTATCGGTGTGGGAAACGTCTGCCCAGAGCTATGTCTGCAGACCAGTTGGCAGCCATGTGCACAAGTGAAAATGACCTTTTGTCAAAAACAACAGTAAACCAAAAAGACGAGTTACAACAGTAGTCGTTCCACAGGCAGTTTTTCTGGAGGCGGCATTGTGCTGTGGCCTATGCTGGTCTGCACCCCAGCTCCTTGCCTTAGCACAATAGTGTCAGTTTAAAGATCCGTGTCTATTAGAAACACAGTGAATAAGAAATACAATATAGTTAACATAAATATAATAAACATGATGGTTTAGGTTTAATAAAATAATACCTTACATTGCTTTTACAAGGATATCTTAAGTGGAACGTTTTTAGACTGGGTCTGTGGGGTTGAAGAGCACACTTGGCCTGGGCCGGTGGTCCTGCTGTCGCGGCTCATGGCATTAACTGCCTCGCCACTCAGTCTGCAGGGTTTGTCCTAGTGGCAGCGCGACGGACGAGGCAAGGGTGGATGGGCAGCCCCTTCATCCTGCTCCGCACTGGGCTTCAGCTTTGCCACATGTGCCCTTTGTCACTTTCCGAAGCATTTTAAGACACACTCTACATGTCATTTCATTCTCCAGACCTTGGTATGTCTCTAAAGTCCAGGATGTTAGTCCCCAACACTGCACTGTGCCATTGCTGCTGGCCCCACTCGTGTCTCCTCAGTGTCCTCCCTGCAGCTGCCTCGCTGCGCCAGGCTCCAGAGCAGCCCCGCTCACACAGAGTGCCTGGCGCCTCTGTGGCTCACCTCCCCCAGCTCCGAGTATCTGCTTGCTGTAGGAGCAGCTGCTTTTCCTGCACTTGGTCACCTGCTGGGACTGTTCTGCTTCTTCCTGGTAGTTTTTCTATCCCTCCTTTGCTTTCAAGTAGAAATGAGCACCAGAGCTCCCACTGTGGCAGGAAGCTTCTCACTCCAGCTTGGTTTTCTGTGTTGACTGGGGACACCTGGGGTGGCTGTTCTGAGTGACACTAACTGGTAGGAGGACCCAGGTGACCAGGCTCCGAGGCCTCTTGACTGACGTGCCCATTTCTGTCATGGCCTAAATGCTATATTTCACTCGCTGATACTTTGCTAGCTCATTCCTAGAGTAGTGAGAGGGTGTATGCTTAGAGCTTCTTGTCACTGTCTGGGGAAGATGTTGCCCATTCACTGCCTGAGTCAGCCTGTCTGCTTCTCCCCTCCAGCCCCAGCCTGATAACTGTTCCTCATGGCAGATGCTGATGTGTTTCAATGGATTGTGTTCATTATCCTTGGGTGCCACTGGGCGTGTTTGGGGGTAAGGGGTGGCTGGGGCCTCAGGCTCACTCCTCTTGCCCCACCCCGGCCTGATATACTTAGGCTCCTGTCCTCTGTACTGCCCAGGCCTTGGGCCAGCAGGTCCTCTAGGCCCTCCTCCAGGGGCACTGACTAATGGCTCGTCTTCACTCCCAGGCCATTTTGGGGCCAGAAATAAAAGACAAAAATTTGAACTGGCATCTCTAAATCAAACTTACAGATTTTGCTTGATTTTATATTATGTCTTGATTCTCTTACATGGAATCTCGCTTCTAAGCAAAGTTAATGTTGTTTGCATTATCCTAGCTTGTAAAAACGCCAGTGTTACTATCACAGCTAAACTACTGAAAGCTTTGATTTCTTTGCAGCTTTACTGACAGCAGAAACTATCCCCAGGGCACGTGCAAGTGTGAGTGTGATGCTCTTGCCCCGCGTCACACAGGATGCACTGGGAGGATGTGGTTGGGCCTTGGGTTGCTGTGGTTTTGCCTTGGGATTGAACTCTAGAAGTGGGATTACTAGGATGCAGGATAGGTGCATTTTTACTATTTTCAGGCATTGATTGTACTTTTGCTGAGATTTTGGGTGTCAGATGAAATTCGCCGCCCTAAAACCTCCCCCTAGAAGCACTCCCATTTATTTTTCATCTTAATCTTCAAGGAATGTCCCTTCCACCCAGTTTGGAACGTATTACGGAAAGTGTTAAGACCACCAGTCGATGTCGCTTAGTCACCTCAGGTGTCACTCACTTGGCAGAGAATCCACACAGTGTGCACATTGCAGAGACAGGGTTCCAGATCTGAGAGGATTTCCAGTGGGATATTTTGGGCTTTATTTTCTTCTTTTATTTCCTCATTATTTTATTTGTTGTTTATTTTACCCCACATGAGTTATCAAAAAGCTGGTGATGAGGCACAGGGAGATGTCCCTGTATCTGCTGTGCCATCACGAAGCTGGCGTGTACTTGGGGAGAGGCTTGTGTGACTTGCCCTGCTGGTGCCATTGGTGTGTGTGAAACAGGCGCCTCCCCTGTGCCTGGTGACAGCAGGGAGCAGCTCAAAGTCCCCTCAGCGTTTACATCCTAGTGCAGGAGACACATCAGAAATCCAGGAACAATAGCATAATTGCAAATTCTCTGTGCTTTGAAGGAATCAAAGAAGATTAACAATAGAGGCTTAGCCAGAGGCTGCCTTTGGGCAAGTGGGGAGAGGCAGGATACCCCTAGACCTGCCCCAGATAGGGGAGAGAGCACTTCCAGGCCAGGAACAGCCTTCCCAAAGGCTCTGAGGCAGGCCTGGCATGTGAGAACTGAAACTGAAGGCTCAGCATCTTGGGAGGAGGGCGGGCAGGTTTCTGTAGGATCTTGCGTTTAGGTTAAGGACCTGGGTTAACAGTGAAAGCACATCAGGAAGCCATGGAGGACAGTTAAGTGGGGAAATGACATCAGATGCTGGTGTCATGCATGCACTTTGTGTGGATTAGAAAGTCACACAGATGCCGTGTGTTAGCTTCAAAAGCACCAACATTATCCTCTCCAAAGTTCAAATTGGGGGCAGTTTTCCTCCTGCTATGCGGGACAACTGCGTCTAGTGTGTGGGTCTTCTGAGGAGTTCTTTCCTTTTCCATAATATTCCCTGGATGTTGCTCAGATATTTGTGGTTAGTGATTGTTGCTGGGGGTGTTCTTGGACTGTGAGTATGAACATGATATCTGCAAATTCTCTTCTTCAGACTGATAAACCCAAGGGGCACATTGTTCCATGAGATAAGAGAAATTCTTCCTCGAGATCAAAAGAGGTCAGTGTTACTGCTATCACATTTATGTAAAATGATATTCTGGACAAAAATGGCATGTTCATTGTTTGTATTTGTATTGCAGGAGCCTGGAGTGATACCTGTGTGGGAATCCTCGAGAGCATGGACTGACGTACTGGGGCCTAAGGAGCCACTTTTGGGGGGGCCATCCTGGCCCATGTGTAGGGGGCACAGGATCGGACTGACGCCGCCTGGGGCTCCAGACCAGCACGCAGCCTCACACCCTCCGCCACGGGGGACACCTTGCGGCCTTTTTCCTGCGAGTGTGAAGTACAAGGTTACTCTACAAGAGGAAGATTCCAAGGGTTTAAAAACGCAAACAAAGGTTTGCACTTTGGAAGTCCCTTGGAATGTTGACAACTCAGGACCTAAAAGAATTTTTTGTGTTAGTGAGTCACAGAATTAATGTGGAAGTAAATGTCACTTTATAAGCGATACTAATACTAAGTGAGGAACACTATGCAGGAAGAAATCTTCAGTAGACAGACAGGCAGGGCAAAGCTCAGGCCAACCCTAAACCTGCCAAACAGAGCAAGCCTGAGATAAGCTGCCAAATGGCCAAATAAGAGACTGTGTGAGCTCATGATCCTGTAGCTGTAGTAGCTGTAAGGGAATTTTTTCCTCTAAATCACGATACCAAATAGGAAAAATGATCTACAAGTGCCCCATGTGCAGGGAATTTTTCTCTGAGAGAGCAGATCTTTTTATGCATCAGAAAATTCACACTGCTGAGAAGCCCCATAAATGTGACAAGTGTGATAAGGGTTTCTTTCACATATCAGAACTTCATATTCATTGGCGAGACCACACTGGAGAGAAGGTCTATAAATGTGATGATTGTGGTAAGGATTTTAGTACCACAACAAAGCTTAACAGACACAAGAAAATTCACACCGTGGAGAAGCCCTATAAATGTTACGAGTGTGGCAAAGCCTTCAATTGGAGCTCCCACCTCCAAATCCACATGAGAGTGCACACAGGTGAGAAACCCTACGTCTGCAGTGAGTGTGGAAGGGGCTTCAGCAATAGCTCAAACCTTTGTATGCATCAGAGAGTCCACACCGGAGAGAAACCCTTTAAATGTGAAGAGTGTGGGAAGGCCTTCAGGCACACTTCTAGCCTCTGCATGCATCAAAGAGTGCACACCGGAGAGAAGCCCTATAAATGTTATGAGTGTGGGAAGGCCTTCAGCCAGAGCTCAAGCCTCTGCATCCACCAGAGGGTGCATACCGGGGAGAAGCCCTATAGGTGTTGTGGGTGCGGCAAGGCCTTCAGCCAGAGCTCGAGCCTCTGCATCCACCAGAGGGTGCACACCGGGGAGAAACCGTTTAAGTGTGATGAGTGTGGGAAGGCCTTCAGCCAGAGCACCAGCCTCTGCATCCACCAGAGGGTGCACACAAAGGAGAGAAACCACCTCAAAATATCAGTTATATAAAGCATTTTGCTAAGCGTTAAAAATCTTAAAACCCATAAGTGCCACTAGGAAGGAAACCCTGTAAATACCTATACATTGACCCAAGAAATTTTTACAGCAAGCCCCAGCAGAACATTCTTTTTGATGAGGCATATGTGAGGTTGATTTTTTGATTCATGCCAAGTATGTCCCACAACTTGCCTTTGAATCGGGAATCCCTTTGAGTGTCTGCCCAGGACGGGCTGAGGCCCCCAGTAGAGGGCATCCCCCGGGGTTATGGCACATTCCTCCGTAGTGAAATTCCACAAACAAACCCACAGCTACTGCCCAGCCTCCGGAGTGCTCTTGGCCATGTTTATGTAGAAGGTCCCCCCACCCTGCAGGAGCAGCCCTTGCCCTCCATCCTTGTGACTCCACTCTGCCAGCTATGGCATCTGCAGGGACAGCTCCACTGAGGCGGCGGTTTGGTATTTCGGAGGTTACTGCTTGATTGAGGCCTACACGCCATTCTACACATCCTGTTTCTGACCCGTTTTCCCGACATGTCCTCAGGTGCCCATGATACCCACGCCTTCCTAGATGGCATTAGACTCACTTTAGGTTTAGGTGGCTCATAATTCCCGTTCAGTTGGCCTGTCAGAGAGATCATTGGCAGACACATGCTTTTGAGCTTTTCTTGGACTTTTTTTTTAAAATTATAAGGATTCTGCTAATCACTGTTTCCATGTTAATCAGACTTAATTTCTAATGACTACATCACATATTTTTAACTTGAATTTCTTTTGGAAATAGCTGAATGTAAATAGGGAGGAAAAAGCAAGCAAAGTTAGAACTTCTCTCCATCCAGAATTCCCTTTCTGGGTCCTCTCGCAAAGCGGGGAACTCCTGAGTAGAGGGGGTGCCCATGTGCGGGTAGATGGCAGGGGCACTGATGCTCATGCCTGTCATTGGGGCAATTTGTAGGAGTCCTTGGTACCCCTTCATTGAGGAGGACGTATCAGTTCCTTTCAGGCATGGATGTCTGTTGTTGATCTCTCATTCTCTTCATTCATTCACTCAGCCAATATTTATTGAGCACCTCCTGTGTGCCGGGCACTGCAAGGTGCTGGGGATACCACTGACGTAGGGAGGCGAAGGCCCCACTCTTGCGGAGTTGACTTCTGGTGGAGGAGACGTGATAAGCAAGTAAACACATAAATAACGTAGTTCAAGATAGTGATTAAGTGCTATGAAGAAAATAAACTAGGTGGTGGTTTAGAATGGTGGGTGGGGGGGAGGGCAGCATTAGTAGCGGTCAGGGTCAGGGAAGGCCTTTCCGTGCAGCTCGGCCTGGGGGACTCGCGGGCGCCCCAGGGGTAGAGGGCAGCAGTCCCGGAGCCGCAGCTACAGGGGGCAGTGGCGGAGGGGCTCCGTATCCTGGTGTTTATAGGCCTCTTTTTTTTTTTTTTTTTGGCTAGATTACTATTAAAAACTCATGTGGAGGAACTCAAGGAATGTTTAGAAGACCAAAAGTCCCCATTGACAAGAACAAAAGCAACTAACTTAACTTTGTTTCTCTTCTCATTCCTGCTTTCTTTAATTCCCACATGTAGTCCTTGCTCAGGAAGTCTTTGGGGAAGTTAAGGACCTTTGAAGCTCTGAAAGGGGTGGTCAGGATGGTGGTGTCAGCTGTCAAGGAGGTTGGAACACGAACTACCCAAAAATAGTCATCAAAATGTTGAAACAAAGCTTGATTTTTCCTGTTGTATTTGGATTAATTCTTTTATTCGACTGGAAGGGTTTTTTTTTTTTTTTTTCCAAGTAACTAAAGCAGTGCACAAAGGAGATTGCAGAGGGAATTTGGGGGTTTGGTTTGTCAACGTCTGGGTTTTAATCCAGAAATTTTTGTTAACAGGCCATTGGGTGGTCCCCTCTCACTCACGGCCTCCTTCACAGAGGGCTGCTCAGTACCGAAGAAGCCCCTTCCAGGCTGACAGCAGTCCACTCGCACTGCGTCGTCACTCGTGTCAGGCCGCGTGGGCGGCAGAGGAGAGCCTAGACTTTTAGTTGGTAGAGAGCCAGTTGAAATATCATTGATAGAATTTTAGTTTTAGGAAAAATTGGTTTGATTTCTAGCTTTATTACTATTAGGTATGTGAGCTTGGGCAAATCGCTTAATCTTTGAGTCTAGTTTTCTCACAAAATGAGGATATTAGGCTAAATGATTTCTGAGTTTCCAGCTAGTCCTAGAGTTCTATATTTCTACATAGTTGAATTATTTTATCATGCTGTTGCTGGGGAATATGACTAACACTTTTGAAGCTACTAATTTTATGTCAAGCTTTAAAGTCCATAATTGTTATCTTCGGAAAATATTATTTGACCTACAGTATGTCCAAATCAATTTAATAAAATCACTTTATAACAGGGTTCTGTGCTTAACATGTAGGTGTGTGCATTTGGGGGTTGGAGTATGGGCTGGTGCGTCTAGACATAACTACACAATTTACCATCCAGACTAGGCACTTAAGGATAGAGTGGTTCTGGGTACTGTTAGTAAATGAGGACAACAGGCCCAGCTGTTCAGGGGTTGATCCTGAAGCCATGTCGTGACCGGTCCTGGGCCCCAGAAGTCACAGCCCCAGCTTACAAGTGACTGTGTCCAGAATGAAGAGGAGGGGAAGTCTTGAGGTTCATGGTAAACTGAGCATGCCCCACAGTGGAACACAGGTCTGTGGCCGCATGTATTCTACTCTTAAGAAGAAAAACCAGCAATCTAGATTTCTACATAAAAATGTGGGCAGTAATTCATATTCCTGTGTGGCTCCTTGGGCCCTTTTTAATAATCTTCCAGGCCCTCAGGGTTTTGTTTCCCTTCACCAGCTCTGCTTTGGTTTTTGGGGACAGCAGCCCCACCCGGGAGACTTGGCATTTGTGTGATGGGGTTAAATGCTGCTGTTGGCAGCAGACATCCAGCCAAAGCACGGACTGCTATAAGTCACGCGTTGGTTGGTTACAGGAGGCCACACAGAGTGACCCCGAGTCCGAGGGGAAAGGCATGGACAAGTCCCACCAGAGAGGACAGGGGTGGCACCAGCTCTGTACACCAGGGCAGATGAGGTCAGGCGCCAGATCTGAGAGGGACAGCTATTTGAGAGTCGTGGACCTGTTCAGTTACCAGCGCAGCTCTGGAGGGAGACGGCCTGTGTTCAGAAATGAGAGAAGTAGTGATTCCAGTCCCATTGGGGATGTGCATCTCGCCTCTCGGGAGTCTACAAAACAGCTGAATTGAGAACTGGAGGCTGGGCTGCATGTCAGCAGTCCTCTGGGGTCAGCCACAGGGACCACCACTTTTCACACCAAAAAGAAAATCTCACCAAGTCCCAGTCCATGTTCTCTGACTGACGAAAGCCACTGAGGAAGGCCACAAACTCTGTCCTCTTGAAAAATAAAAAAGAGAAGCAAACCAAACCCTCGCCTGCCTCAGGTGAACAACACAAGAGGAAATGAAAACCAGCACCCACTTCAGAGAGGGAAGTCCGGCACCTCGTCCTTCATCCAGTTGTTGGGTGGGGCTAAGCCTGTAAGAATGTATCACTTTAAACTCACTTTACAGATAAGATTCTAAGCCAAACCCAGAGCAGGCCTTCCTCAAGGCCAGTGTGGCCTGGCCCTTGGTGCCGCTCTGCTGAGTCATTCTGATTATTTTTTTAGGATTTATTTTTATTTATGCACACAAGAACCAGAGGTGTGGGAGTGAGAGGATTTCCCAGAGACAAGTAGGGAACAGAACAGGAAGATTGACTGAATACACTGCTGAGGGGAGCAGTGGGCAGGACAGGAGAGGTCTGCTGTACCATGTGGGTCAGCACCCTGGCTGGGGATCCAACTCGTGCTGCAGTGTCTGTGAATGGCTTCATAGTGCTGTGCTTTTAACTAAAACTTTATGCCACTGGGGGGCGGAGGGGCTCTGTCTAGTTTTATTGTAGCTGAACGCTCAGTTTCCCTCCTTGCTCAGTCACAAGTCCACAGGACTCTAACTTTCCCTTAGGGAGAAGGCTCCTGGAGACATCCTGACCTGCTTCGTGCCCAGAGCTGCTCCTTTTTGATGACACCCCAGAGATGTTCAAACCCTGGTGGCCACTTCTGAAATGCTTTCCCCTCTTGGGCCTAAAAATTATTTGGAAGAATTGATGGCGTGTGTTTTCTTTTTCTTTTATCCTTTTTTTTCAGCAATGACACTTAAGGCATCTGCCTTGTACAATCACTGCTTTTCAGAACCGACACAGCAAAAGGGCATGAAGTCTTTCCCTGGGGAAGCTGGAGAAGGAACCTGCCCTCTGAAAATAAAATGACTGTCATGTAGGGCCTCCTAGTAAAAGGCAGATGTAATTAATTAGAATAGAAAAACAAGGTTATTTTCCTTGCCTTGAGTTTGTATGCTGACGTTCATACCCACTACACAGATGTATGAGCTGGTGAGTAAAGGGGAAACTATTTGTGGCTTTACTACTGCCTGGACAAATTAATAAAAAGAGAAAAACATAATTCTCGAAGTTCCTGCCTCCCTCCTTTGAAAAAGCAATGTCACCAGACTGCGCATCTGAGCCCTGGGAGGCATCACCCCTAGAGAAAGTGGCAGCAGTTTTTGTTCCAGGCCATGAAAGTGGAAATCTGCCAGAATCCCAGAGGCAACCCCAAATAAGCTTGATCTCCCGCATCTGCTTTGGGGGCCACCACAGTGGCGGCTGTTTAGCCACCTCCCGTCTGTCTAACCCGCGGCTAAGAATGTCTTTTGTGGTTTTTTTAAAGAATTTGTGAATGAGAAAACTTCATGAAACCCACATATATGTCCTTAAATCACATCTGTGGTCTCTGCCACAACAGCTCAGCTGAGCTGCACCCCCAGAAGCCTGAACAGCCTCCGAGCCTAACACACCCACTCCCAAAAGAGTTGCCCAGAACTCTGGCTTAAGTCGATGGCAGCTTCCAGGCTGGAATATTCTAGAGGAGGTGCAGATGGAGGCCTGTGCTTCCAGAGTGAGCACAGAGGAGATTGCTGAGGTCAGGCAGAGGAAGGAGCAGTGGTCCTGGATGCCAGGGGCTGAGGCTGAGTCCTGCAGAGGTAGGTGGGCCCAGAACAGGTTGGGGAGAGGTGGTGCCCGCATTGCCCTGCTGTTGTGGGCAAATCACAAAGGCCATGCTGTGAGCTTGGCCTGAAAGAGGCCCTGGCATCACCAGTCAGCTGGCCTTTGGCTTGCAGATGGCAGAATATAGTGGGGCTTCTCAGGACCCAGGACAGTGCACACCAGTCCTATAAGAGAAATCCGGCCATATCCCTTTGCTTCTGTTTCTCTGGAGAGCCCTTGGGGCTCAGGCACGAGAACAGTTCAGACCCACCCTACACCTCTAAAGGCTACCGGTGGAGGCATTGAAGTGCTCAGTAACGTTCTGTGTCTTCAAGTGCTGCCAACCCCAGCAGCTGCCCCATGAGTCCTCAGGCGGGCGGCAGAGTGGAGTGCAGCAGCTCACGCTTCAGGCATCAGGAGAGAGGCCTGTGTAGGCACTGGGGCTGGGGACAGACCTGGGCTGTTTGGGGGGAGCTGCAGTGGGGCCTTTGGGCTCCCCTTGAGCACATTATCCCCTGACTCCTGAGGGTCTCAGCACGGCCCATGGACAGTGAGCCGCAGCACCATACCTCTCCCCCCATCCTGGATTCCTTCCCCACATACTCAGAGAAAGTGCCCAGAATCCACCATGAGTCCCCTGAAGTCCTCTGGTGCCCCTGAAAATAGCCTTTGAATATGGACATAATTTTAATGTTCAGTTTTTAAAAATAATATAATAGCTTATTTTTACATCACTTTGTATCTTTTTCCATCTCAGTTGTAATCCCCATGGGCTTCCCATCACCAATTCACCCATGTGCCATCACCATAGTCCAGTGCACTTCCCCCCACTCCCCCGCCCGCCCCACCTCATTTTTGATCCCATTCCTCATTCCACCCCCGTAAAAAGTCTCTGGTATATAGTTGTTCATTATTATTATTGCTTTCTCCCCTGATCCTTTATACTCCTGCTATGAGTGAAACCATCTGTATTTTCCCTTTTCTTTCTGGTTTATTTCAATAAGCATGATTCCTTCCAGCTCTGTCCATGTTGCTGCAAAAGGCACGTTTTTATTTTTTCTGGTTGCTGAGTAATATTCCATTGTGAATATGTACCACATCTTTTTACTCCAGTCATTGATTTTTGGGCATTTGGGTTGTTTCCATGTCTC